ATCAAATTAATTAACATATCCATCATCACCCATGTTGTACATTAGATCCCCAGGACTTGTTCATCTTATAACTGAAAGTTTGTATCCTTTGATCAACATCTCCCATTCCCCCCGATCCCCAACCCCGTGAAAGACAATGCCCTACACTCTGCTTCTGTGAGTTTAATTTTTTAGATTCCACATAAGTAAGAATATGTGGTATTTGTATTTGTGTGTCTGGCTTATTTCACTTAGAATAATGTCTTCTAGGTTCAACCATTTTGTCACAAATGGCAGAATTTCTTTGTTTTGTATGACTGAATAATATTCAATTGTGTATACATATACCACAATTTCTTTAATCATTCATCCATCAGTGGCCACTTGCATTATTTCCATATTTTGGCTATTGTGGACAATGCTACAGTGAATATGGGATTGTAGATATCTTTTCAAGATACTAATTTCATTTCCTTTGAATATATACCCAGCAGTGAGACTACTGGATCATATGGTGGTTCTGTTTGTAATTTTTTGAGGAGCCTTCCCAGAATTTTGCCTATCATATTCAGCCACTATAGTGGAATGCATTGTTCTGATTTCTTTAGATTTATTAAAATCCCAGATTCCCAATATTGAAGCCATAAATTAGAGTCAGCACAAACAGCCATCCTGAGATTTAGGATTGCAATCTCTTGCATATGCTATTTGGGCCTTTCCAGATATCTATTACTGGGCTTTTCTATCCATCTCTCAGTAGTTAGCGTTGCCTACTGACAGATTACATCTGTCCCCTTTTGCAGAGAATTGCCCTTGGCTAAAGGAAGATACCTCATGCAGAGATGCCTAGGGGGTTAAGCCTCGTCACCCCCACCATCACCACTATCTCAGGTGGCCCAGCCACTTACGATCTCTCTGATGAATTCACATCCTGTAACTCCCAGTGGTATTAGGTCAAAGCTAGACTTCTCAAACCACAAGTTATCATAGCTATTTGCTCTGCCCTCTATTGCTTCCCTTCTTTACCAATAGGTTACTCATGAGAGTACTCTGTCATAAAATCACTTACATCAGAATTCTAAGGACACTGCAAGTTTTACACATGTGGTGATCTAGATAAAATACTCACAGCTAGCTATATTTTCAATAGAAAAGGCAGGATAAGAACCTATTATAGTTTTTAAACTTATTAGAGTTTATTAAGCTGTGTGTTCTCTCAGTAATATTCTATTAGCACTGTGTTGCTAACTTGATGTTCTGCTGTATCTGTTAACATGGCGTTGTATAATCACTTTAGTATTATGTGTGATAAATAGTACATAGCATATTGTGATTAATAGCTTTAAAAATACTTAATTTTTTATCACTCTTTAAATCTCTGAAAATGTGATAGAAAATATCAACTACTCCATGTATTCTGGAACTTGTTTTTTTAAAAATAATTCAGTTTCATTATGTATTTCTGTAGTTTCTTCTCAATTTCTACCATGTTTTGGTTTTGAAAGAAATAGCACAAAGGCTATTCAGGTTAAAGCCACCACCAGTATTTCTGTTCAGAACTTCTTTATGTCCCTCTTGACATTGACACTCAGATAAAATGTCCTGGAGATTATAGAAGGAAATAAGAAACATTTCTATCTAACTTTTCCTTCTTTGTGAGGCTGAGCCCTAGCAGTCAAATCTATGGGTTTCTTCCTTAAGTTCCCAATGTAACTCTTAGGAATTAAACACCTTTATATAACTTACATCTCAAATGAGACAGAATACACTCCTCAGTTAAAAAATGGGTATTATTGAATTTCTAGTAGTTTGAGGTTATACAAGGAACCCCTTTCTTCATTATCCCAGAAACCTTTAAGAGGTCCAAAACCCAGAAATAATCTCAAAGTGGCTTTTTCAAAATCCAGAATTCAAAATTTGCCTAACTCTG